ATTAAGAACCATGGTCCTACACGTTTGGAGTCCATAGGAGGTCGGCCTTACCCACCACAACCAGAACCAGTTAACCATACCAATCAATTTTTATTAATGCGTCAGTGAATTAAGTATTCACGTAAATACTGTACTTACCTGCGTGTTTGATGTTGACAACTGCAGTTTCAGTCACATAATAATAATCAACATTATTGGTTGTGACAATGAACGCGCAAGACCGCACGCGCCGCCAAAGCTTTCGGTGAATTGAATCTCAAACGAGATAACGAAGCTTTCTAATGACTCAAGTTGCTGCATGGTTGTTTTATATTTTTAATAAAATTAATTTCTTCTAATTTTAAATATATTTTCCCTAAATTCGTGATTATTCGTCGTTATGCGTAGACGCGTGACAAATTTAAGATCACGCATGTGTTTCTGCCAAATGCGTGTTACATCCAAAATCGGGACCGTCCCGCACGATGCGAAACGGTTGGTAATGCCTTTTGTAAGCCAGGATCCAATAGTATTTTGTTACGTTTCGTCACAGAGGGGGGTTCGTCCGAACCCCTTGACCCTTGAACACCCCCCTTGACCCTTGAACCCCCACCCGGATCTGCCAATGGCATACTACTTGAACTTTGTACAGTTCTACAATAACAGTATGTGATCAATATTTTTTTAGCCTTGGCACATACAAAATGCTTTGGTTTGGTTCAACAACATGGAAAGGTCTTAATACGAAACTTTGAATGACAAGTTTACATATCAGTAATGCCTAAATTAATTTCAAAACGGTAATTTTTTTATTCAACTTTATTCACGGAGAGTGACCCAAAAAAGCGCTTGCTGACGATCACGGGCCGTCACACAAAATCATTACAGTCCAGAAATTGCAACAATCACAAAAGGTATTAAAAGAAAGAACGTAGGAAAAAGTAAACACCAAAATATCATCGACTTACATTAAAATGATTAAATTAGCTATCAATCAAATTCAAATGAGACAAAGATCCATACAATACACCTTTCCGGAGTACCAATCTAACTTAACAACTGACCAATCAGAAAAGAGCCATGAATACGCGCGCGTCTCACAAACATGTGTTGTCCGACATCCAAGGGACGGTGCTTAGCGGAAGGTCAGTCTGTTGTGTTAGTTATGTTTTACTGGGGTACAATAAATTGATTACTAGAATTGTAGTATACAGTATTTGCAAAGAATAGAGGAACTTATTTCTGTGCGCACCTATGTGTAATGTGCGAGTATATACACCACACAAATTTAATATCTAACTAAGCCTATCATATTGTTGAAGGTTTACGGGCCTCCGTGTGTTAAAAGTTTATCACAAATCAACAAAATTATTGTATGTATACCTATGTTACAACATTTTTAAAATCACAAGGATGGCTTGACGTTGAGTCAATGTGCGTGCATCGCGTACAACTTTAGTGTCGCGTGCCAAAGTGAGTATTTATGAGATTTACCACGAGTAAACCATGTGTTATATTTTAAGCATTCATTTTGGCGCGACACGACTGTAACCTACTCATCTGAACATCGTGTCTATAATATCCCAATTAATCACGTGTGTACAGATGTTGAGAATCAAGGCGACCGTGTATTTAGTTTTTGCCGAATAACGAAAGGAGGATGAGGAATAAGTAGACGATGTCGATGTAGAGAATCACGGATGCAAACACGTACTCTTCTTCACTTAGCTCATACTTCTTGCCTCCCATTATGAGATGGGTGTCAAACATCAGGTACTGCAAACAACAATGGCGGCTCATTAATATTGTGTTGATATAGTATGATCATAACTATACGAGTACTATATGCAATTACAGCTAAACCTATTAATAATGAATTAAACATATTATATATAGGCCTATTATGTAAGAACATTGTAATAATAATGGTAATGAAAACAATAATAATAATAATAGGCCTAATAATAATAACAATAATAATAATGAAAATAATAACAATAATGGTAGTGACGACGAAGATAATGATTGAAAATATTAATAATGATGTTAGGCCTAGTGTTTTCTAGTTGAACACAGACATTTTGTTGAATAATATTTATTATGTTTTACCATGCCAAACAGAAGAGCAATAAGCCAGCCGTAGACAGTATACGCAACCTAGAAATTTGAGCAAAATAAATTATATTACAAAGAATTAAAATAAAAATAAGATGAAAAATAATATGATGCCACAAAAAAAATTGAACCACAATGGCTTGTATTACTCTTAATGGAGTTTGACTTATTAAAACCATCCTACAAAAGTATTTGTAAGCCTCTTTTACCCTTTTAATATGAGTCCGATCGTTCATTAAGAATCTAATATGAGCACCATAGACCAAGAGTCACTGACCAATACAAATCCTACGGTCCATGATTCAATATTTAATACCACTGTCTTTTATTTCAGTTGTAAAAAGTATAGGCCTAATGTAAGTATCTAGTGAATCATTCTTAAGAAGAAACGTGCAGCAACAGCCAGTGGTGGCGCGAGGGGGGAGGGGGAAGGAATTTTCCCCCAAGTCAGACAGGCCTGGACACCATGTCGTCCGACGCACGAATAGGTCGTCTGATCAAAAACTAATAAAATAATAATTGGCCTATCCAAATAACGTTATTTTGATGCCACCCTAATATTATGGTCTAAAAGCACATTTTGGACCATAGTAAGCTAAAAAAACTCGCCCTGTGAACCCTATTAGAGATTTTCTGGCGCCACCACTGGCAACAACATTATTGCCCTTAACAACTGACCAATCAGAACAGTGCCAGGAATACGCGCGTTTCCATAATTTATGCTATTGTTTAGTGGGACATAAGCAACAATATCCAAGGGGCGGGGCTTAACTGAAAGGTAAGCCAGTGTGCGTATACAGTATACAAATGTGATTTCCTGTCGTATAATTTTACACCATATAAGGGACCCTTAGAATAATATTACACCATATAAGGGACCCTTAGAATAATTTTAAAATGCAGAATATATACCTCGTTATAGAAGAAGATACAGAAGAATCCAAACATAAACACTGACATTGAGAAAATGCAGATGAACGCTGCCATCTTTGTGAAGTCAATCTTGGTCTGTATACTGAACAGAGTTATTGCAATCGTGATACCCTGCGAAAAAAAAAATAATTAGTTAAAAAAAATCATCGAATTAAGATTCTATAACTGTATGGTTGTTCCATGGATAATCACAAATTATTCTGCTTGGCAGATTGCAAGATTGCATTACATCAATTGTTAATATATGTAAATGCACCCTCTCCAACTCTATTTCTGCCCCATCATGACAAAAGGAAGTAATTGACAATAATTTTTCAAAACGAGTTTTTTAGTCACTATCAAAGAACTAATAATTGACATATTGATATATTTCAGTATGTTCAAACCCCACTAATTAACAAGTAATTAGCAACACAAAAAGGAAGTAAGAGACTGAAAATAGGGCCTACAGAAACCACAACAAAAGGAAGCAGGGGACAAAATTAATATATCTGCGCGTTGATCCTCGCCAAATATGGCTCTGTGGTCTTAGCAGTATGGTGCTCGCTTTGATAGTGAGCGGTTGCAGCGTCGGTTCCATCAAATAGTGAAAAAGAAACCTGTTGTTGAGGAGATATGTTTGATAAGATTATAACATAATTATGTTCCTCTATTTGAGCACTATTGTAATTACTATTGTTTATCTATTTTTTTCCATATAGGGCTTAAATATAGGCCATGTTATTTATATTCAAGTAGAAATGAAAAACAACTACACTATAATGCATAATTTGACCTACATTTTCTTCTCTCGGGGCCTAAGATAAATTGAAAATGATGATATAAAACATGAATATATTGAGCATAGAAGATTAAGAAACTCGTCACGTAAAGACCAAAGATCAATTAAATACAAAACAAATTATATGATGTCGAGTCTACGTCATGGTCATAATTCCTTAAATTCTTGAGTCAGTATTGATTGGTGTATCAGTTGCATTACGTCACGTTTACGCGTTGATTTCATGGGTCATATTAAAGTGAAGCACATATCATTCGATTTTTTTCTTGAAGACATAGGCCTACATTTAGAATTGATCAAATCCTTGGTATCGGATGTCCCTATACGGGTCGTAAGCAACGCGTTTCTCATTTATATCGTGACGCAAAATTAGGCGCAAGATGTGTAATTCCTTTAAGCAGACAATGCAAAAAAGTATTCTATAGTTAATGATTAACTCTTGGGTTGATCGTCAGAAGTTGCTAAGAAAAAATTAGCCAGAAGCAACCCTTAGTATTATCATTTTACTTTCTCTGAAAGCAAGATTGATGTATAACGTTGGCCTATGAATTGTACTATTGAGTTTGTGCTATTTATTATTGAATTGTTATGTCATTCTGATGGTATTTTGTACATGGACCAGTTCCATTTGTTACCGATCAGTCTCTTATTTGATCAAATTATGAATATGAATAAAAAGGCTGTTTGGAAGCTATTCATGCCCATCATAGAATGATATAGGCCTACTGCATTTCAATGATTTTATTTAACTCTCTCATCTCAGTCTGCATGGCTACAAAAATTGAGTTGTAGAAGTGGTTGGCGCATCGGTTGTGGCTTGGACTCCCAACCTCGAGGTCGGGGGTTCGAAACTCTCGCTGTGCAAATCGCTTGTCAAGGCACTTTATCTACGGTTACCCCTCTCCACCCAGGAGTACAAGTGGGTACCTGGTAGGTTCCAACACTGCGCTGATTACTAGCCGCAATATTATGGAGATATTTAATTTAATAATTTCATTTAGTGTTTAATGTGTTCCATATGTGTTTGATCCAATGACCGGGGTAATAATGTGAAGCGCTTAGAGGCTTTGTTAAGGCATTAAGCGCTATATAAGAACGACATATTATTATTATTATTAAAAAAGTCGGCCTCCTTTAATTATTTTCTGAATAGAATTTAGTCGCATTCCTTTATAATTGTACTTAATCAGAAAATGTCTGTTGAGTTTGAAATAATTAATAAGTCGGTAATTAATAAGTATGCATCTTCAAAAGTTGACGTCTCTCCATCAAGAATAGATGTCGCTAGGGGAACCAGACAGTGTTTGCTCAAATATTACGAAATTAAGTCTGAACAATTTAATTTATAGATGTAAGATTGATCGAAATGTACTTCAGTGTGTGATGAGTTATTATTAATAGGGCCTAAGTGCTATATTAACGGGGAGTATACAGCTCTGTTTACACTATCAACTTTGACAAAAAAAAAAAACCCAAAAACTATTGTGTGCCCATATATAGTCATGTTGAGGCTATATATGGTCATGATGTGATGTCATCATAGCCGTATTTTGACATGTCACATGATTTTTTTTTCAAATAAAATGTAATAGTCTCGACAGGACTTAACAATTCCGACAGAGCCTAGAACGAAAGAAGTGTATCTTAACGTGAATTTCTCTTTTTAATGGAAAAATTACTAGAAAACTACTAGTAACTGAATATCTAAAAATAACAGATGCATTCTTACCAGTGTGGTTCCCATAGCGATGAACACAACTTTTTGTTCATAGAAACTGAATGAAAAAATAACATAAAAATTTTTTATAAACAGTTGGTATTTCAAGGAAGTGTTGTCGGCAACAGTGCGATTGATGGCGCTCACTTCCCCTGTTAGTTAGACATCACTTAACAGGTAAGGGGTACACATTCAAAGGCAAAGGCCTAACAGTGGTTGATAGAGAAACTACGCAATTAAAAAAAAAGGGATTTTTTTTTTAAATCAAAAATATTTACCTGGCAATTGTGGCCGCCATGTACGTCAAACTCAATGTCTAGAATTTTTTTTAAAAATAAAATAGTTAATAATATTTTATTGAAAGTAATCAACAAGTATGTCATAGCCAAGTAGATTATATAGTGATAGTGATTTGCTGTTGTATAAATAAGTTGGGGAACTAATCAAAGACCCTACAATTTAGAAAAAAAAACATTTATAACTGCATTTGAAGAATTTACGTTAATTTTCGTTTGTCATATTTTACCATCTAATGTATTTCCTAATGATGTTACTCAATGAAATATCGTTGACAGCAAAATGAAGGAGTCGATATACGGACATTGTCAGAGGTGGGCGGCCTTTAGCCAAATACTGCCACTTAAGAGAAGTAAGTCCAGTATAAAAGATGAATTTGATTTTTTTTTCTTTTGTATTATTTCTTATTTGTATTATTTCAAGCTTATTAAAGGCTAAATTATCTGACTTGGTTCTTGACTTGTATACTTACAGCGACTTACCAGCAACAATATATGGTAAATATTATTAACTACTGCATTAATTAATAGTATTTAATTTAATGTTTGCAACTTACTAACACAGCGAGCGCGATGTAGTTGATGGGCGATTTCCTCGCAAGTCCTTGGCAACACACTAGTGCGATGTAAGTAAATATGAATATACCGCTGTAGAAATAATGAATATAATAATAATAATAATAATAATAATAATAATAATAATAATAATAATAATAATAATAATAATAATAATAATAATAATAATAATAATAATAATAATAAGTAGACTTGCTAAGTCTGTATAACAGAATATAAGGCTTTTCCTCATATATAATGAAATGATGTTCAAATTATAAAGTAAACCAAAACATATATGAAAACAATTACGGATAAAAAAAAAATAAGAAAAATCGCTGAAGACTCGGACCAAGGTTGCAATTATAGTTTTGTTATAGTTTACTAATATTATTAATATATACTGTGTGTGGAACATGGAAAAATTATTTTTAAAAATGGATATTGATGATGTTGAAAATTATAACAACGACGACAACGATGAATGTTGATAATGATGGCGGCGATAACAATAATGAAGCTAACGATTATGATGACGGTAATTTGCTAACGATGATGATAAGGATATTAAATGATTATGATGATGATGATAATGATGATGATGTTGATAAATGGTGATAATAACGACACTAATATTGATGAAAAAAAAAATATGACAATGGTGAAAACACTATGGCGAGCGAAAGGCGCAGCACAATATTAAATGATTATGATGATGATGATAATGATGATGATGTTGATAAATGGTGATAATAACGACACTAATATTGATGAAAAAAAAATATGACAATGGTGATGATCAGTGATGCAGTCGATGAGGGCGTTGTGAATGATTATAACGAAGACAACCACCATTAATGATGAAGATGATGATGATAAGAATGATTTTGGCCGACGTGTTATCAAAGTGTACATCCCAAAATACTTGTGAAAAAAAAAACAAAAAAAAACTGAAATTGAACCCATAATTACTAAACAAGCGGTTATCTAGCTATCTAGAGGTTGTGGGTCTGTTTAGCATCGGAATCACTTGCGATATTTTTTCACAAGTTTGGTGACGTAACCGCGTAATGAGATAGCACGATAGGTTGGGGGAAAAAACATCATTCCTATTGTGTTCCTGGCACAAACATCATTCGAGATGATGGCCCTGTTACCGGTAATAACAATGATTTTGTTGATAGTGATGAGTGATGATGATGAGTGTTGATGACGATGATTGTCGTGATTGGATAAATGAAAACTGAATGTAGGTATACGTACTAAGAAGCATAGTAAGCGCCAGGGTTATCTTGAACCCAATCAGCAATTGAATCCCTAAAGAAGAAAATAATATTAATACAGATCAATATTTACATAGATGTATATACGCATACAAATGCATACACACATATATAATCAAATAAGCAAGACCCTAAAACAACACTGACAAAAAGATTGATTATATATATGTATATATATACACATAAAATGGTCTATACACACACATATATATATACAATTATATTTATTATATATGATTTCTATTCATTGGAATTTGACTCAATTACCTTTATTATAGCCAACAACATAGCTATGTTTTCAGAGAGATATTAATTTGAGAGAAATACATTTACAAATATATATATACTCACACGTAGCTGAAGACCGCTACAACACCGAAAGTAATGAGAAGTTGAATTGAAAGAGTGATGTAAACCTTTAAGTAAATAAATAAATAAATCATGATTATATCATAATATAAAGTTGGAACGTTAAACAAGAGGAATCTACAAAGGGGGGAAGGGGGGTAAAAAAGTTGACCAAACCGGGATTAGAAGCCAGAACCTTCTGCTAACAATGCAATCGAATTCATTAGTGCTGTTCAATTACGCATGGACAAAAGTGAACAATCAGGTTGTTTAATAATAATAATAATAATTCTGGATTTATATAGCGCCTCACGTTGACACAACCTCGAGGCGCTTAACAACAACAGAGAAGAAAAAAACCAAAACAAATGCAAATGTACCAAAAAATTATCAAATATTTGGTTCAAATGATTGGTTAGATGATTATCAATAAATGTTATTATTACAATGAATTGGTAATTGGAATCATTTCAAGGCCTGTTACTTTCCTATTCATCCCAAAGCCTTTCATATTTCATTCATTCCCTTCTAATCAGCTGAATTGCCAACGAAGTCCCAATGGCCAAGTTGATTAACGTATATACATAGACTCCTTATTCCTCGACATGTTTAACTTATTTTCTGGGGTATTTCCTATTCAAAATTTTGAATAAAAAAAAATCCATCAATATCAAAATTTATTTGATCAGTGGCGTATCCATTCTACGGTGCGTGACGAGGCACACTCTCCCTCCACGAAAAGAAATGTTGCGCACCCAGCAAAAGAAAATAGGCTATACACTCAATTAGTCTTATCTTACATCACCTGTTTTGCCTAACACCCTCCCTCTTGCTTAATCTTCGTTTCTCCACTTAACGTTCGCTCCCTCACATCAGCCCCCACCCGCACGGGCATCAGCCCCAGCCACATTTGAATATTCGATTCCTCGATACGCCACTGTCTTTGAAGGAATCCTTTGTTCTAGATAGATATGTTAAAAGATGTGTACACCACACGTACCTTCCTAATGAACACTCGTCTTGTATTGACGTTGTTGAATGTAGTAGTGAATCCGCCTTCCTCTCGTAAATCGCTGTTGTCATTATCGCCCAGTGAAACGCTAGTGTGCCCTAAAGAAACATACACAACATAAAGTGTTTCAATCGCTGTTTGTATAGTTTAAACGACACGTTCCTTCCAAACGCTACGATTATAATACTCGACTCTCAGATAGTACTGTTGTTAAGGGGGCGGGCCGATCTCCGACGGGTGTAGTGGCCGATGTCCCCGACGAGAGCGTGGTTGGTCGTTGCTCTAAGTTCTTAGAAATGATCAAGGGAGGAAGCAATTTTGGGGTTTCAATGGCTTATAAGTCAACTAATATGTAGAAAATACGTATATATATTTTTTTTCTCTACGACGAATTGTTTTTCTTCCCGACAGTGAAAGGCGGGGGGATGGAGCTCTCACCAAGGGGAGGGGCAGTCCCAGCGACCCTCCCCCACGCTGGCACCACCAGTGTTGTTATGCAAACTTTTCACAAATGCAAATCCCTTAATTGACCTATGACTTAAAACCACTATCCCCAATTCGAAAACACCCCCACCACCAACACACACAGCAAAACATTTGAATTTGGATTAAAACATACCTGACGCGGAGCTAGCTACTCCAGTGCCATAATTTTGTTGCTGGGGATATTGTGGCTGACCGTACTGGGGTGGTGGCTGCATGACGTACTGTGCCTGTGGTTGGCCGTACTGTGGCTGTTGTTGTCCATACTGTGGCGCATTATAATTTGCCTGCTGGGGAACGTATGCCGGAGACTGTTGGCCATAAGATTGCTGGGGAGGATACGCACTATTTGGATCGGCCATCTATGAAAATTAAGATTTTTAAACAAAACATAAATAAAAATGGAGACAATATATTAATGCAGTGCACAGAATGTCCTTTCTTACTACTACGTTTACATGATAATCTTAGTCAGTGGCGGATCAAGAATTTTTCGAACGGGGACGTATTTGTTTTCCTGTTTTATAATACATAGGCCTACATAAAATGAAAATAATAAGTTACGGTAATGCTCGGATCGAACATTGTTAACTGTAACAATGGTTAGTGGATAATAAGCTATTACTGCAAATTGGAAAAACCAGTGGCGAATCTAGGGGAGGACGCGGAGAGCTGTCTCTTATACACATCTAGATGTGTATAAGAGACAGGTCCACGTGATCGCTCCGCTCACTGTAGCGGGTTAATTGCTCCTCCCTCTATAAATTATCTAGGAGTAGATATTGACTAACATGTGTCCGGAGAGGCTGTAGCTAACTCGGTAATTAAAAAAGCAAATTATAAGAATAATTTAGACTTCACACTACACAAAACAAAATGATACGATTTATAACGGATAAGGGCCCTCTTAGTCATGTTGGTCAATTTGAACTATCTGAACTCGGATTTTTAAAAGCTGATGATCGGGTTAAATTTCTCCGTCTTGATCACGTTTTTTAAATATTTAATAGTAGTCCTGTGTATATGAGTGAAATTTTTTAGATTATCGATGAGACTAAATCACAATACCATGAGCGGTAGTTCCTTAAATTTCCGAATTCCAATTACAGTAGAACCCCTATTAAGAGGACACCTTCGGGACCAAAGAAATTGTCGTCTTAATAGGGATGCCCCAAAAAACTTGAAATTATCCCCTTAATAGGGCATGTTTTCGTACAATGATGACATAGAATCTTTATAAATTTTATTTTAATTGAATGAGTTGCAGTTGAATTATAACTAATTTATAACAATAATTTGCAATGCAATTAATAAATCAATTATGATATAAAATCAACTGATATGTAATTAAAACTATACATGCCTATTTTCTGGATATTAATTATTTCTTGATTCGAGTGTTATATTAATGGTCAAATATAGAGCTTTCTATTGGATGTACAAGACAGGATAGAGTGACGACTTAATTAGAAGTCAGGGTGCAGCTGTACTGTTACATTAGCCTACAGTACCGGTATGTGAAAATACACAAAATTAGAAATCCCCATGGTTAATGGTGAAAAATGACAAGATTGTATTTAGGCCTATACGATAACACATTCTAAAGATTGTGAAGGAAAAATTCTGGTTTGACGTTAAGTTTATTGCTCAAAAGTTGTCAAAATATCAATTTGAAAGATTTTTTTCTTATTTTGAAACTACTTTAGTTTTTTTGATACAGTAAAACAAATAAGTGCTCTCTTATTAGGGGTTAAATTGTATTGAATTTGACCATTTTGCACACTCAGAAAGTGTCCCCGTGCCCTTAATAGGGGTTGGCTTTAGTGTAGATATATTTCCCCTCGTTTCACGGAAAATTGTCCCCTAGGGGTGTCGCCTTTTTTTTTTTACTGTATTATGTTTTAAAGGTTTTATTCTTCCAATTTTTATATCTTACTACATTGTTTTAAATTTATAAATTTTAACCTTCGAATTTTATACTATAATAATTGTATTAACATATTTTAATATGCCTTTTTAACATACTATTTTATGCTATGCGCCCTTTAAATTTAATTGTATTACTGTACTATGGTTTTTTTTTTTTTTTTTTTTTTTTTTTTTTTTTTTTTTTTTTTTTCTCAACGACCGCTTTGGAAATAAATTGTTTTTATACAATTAACTTTCATGGGCTATCCTAGTATACCATGGTTTACAACATCGCATTTTATTTAGTTTAACTTTAATCTTTTTCCTATTTTAAAGCTTGTTTTAACTTTTAAGAATACCAATTGCTATGTATTGTTATGACGTTGCCGTATACTGAATATAGTCAAGTTATTGGTATCAATGGCAAAAATTGACGGGTGGGCACGTCCCCCATGCCCCTCCTCCCCACCTCTTTGGATCCATTCTGATGCACAATAAACTATTATAAACAGGCCTATAATAAGCTTTGCAAATTTCAATTATAATATAGTAACCGTATCGGTACGTATACGTGTTATGAAATCCTTAGTAGGTCCAATAAGAAACGACAAAAAATAGTCCGATCGTCCATAATAATTGGCCGCCACTTGCTGGCGACGATGCGCGAAGATCGGGGATTTTCCTGAGCGGAACTTGAAGACAATCAATAAATTTATAGATTGAATTATTAACTGACCTTCACAGCAATAAAAAACAAAAAGAATAAACCATTCAGTCAATCCTCAAAAAATATAAGATACAAAATACTAGTATAATTAAGTAGCCTATTGCAGATCTAGACCGTGAATTAATCTTACCTTCCCAATAATATGCTATATTTCGTTGCCTTTTTACGACTTGTCCTTTTCGATTTAGACCACTTTCGGCTGTTAACAGACTAAGAAGTGGACTTTGAAACATGTATGGACGCCTCTCACGTGCTATTGTATACATTTCATTATTAATAATATTATCCTGGTTAAACGTTAACGCCTTGTGTACAATAGTTCATCATTGAGATCGATATGTTAGCTAGGACTATAAATCTATCTAATTGTTTGGCATGATATTTAGGCCATGTCTACTTTATATGTGTACACTAAAGTAAACAAAATTATGTGTCCTCGTGTCGACGGGTTATTCACTCATCAATTTTATTCAGACATTAAAAGAAATACAACCCCTACAATACACTCAGCTGGTCAAAGCTTGCAAAGCTTGCTTACTAAAGGAAAAAAATTAACAATTCGACATTTTAAAGCTATAGACTGGAAGTACCGTAGGGTCTATTATACACGGTAAACGAACTAAGATAGGAGGGGACATTTTTGCGACCATGACTACGGTAATCATGATGATCGAATGCAGTACGAATAAAAGATGAGATACGAATAAAGCAGGGCTGTTTATAATGTGAATTAGATTATGGGAGAGAGGGAAATCACGTTTTTTTTTTAAATGTTTGCGCAAGCATGGACAGAGGTGCGCATACAGTATTCTTTGCGAGACGAGATTTGTATCAAAAGAAAATTAATGTATGAACTCACTGTCCTCTCGTATGCGCATATAATATGACCTTTCTTGAAATGCACCTAAATACATCATTATTAAAAGTATCTTAATATCTTATAACTTATCCTTCTAAATGATTTTGGAACAGTAGGAACAAGCCACCAGCACTCATGAGCGTTTTTCTTTTCTCTTTCCCACCTGGTTTTCTTACAATTTATCAACCATGCCTTGGTCCAAATTTTTTGGTCATTTAATAAGTTGACAGTTCCCGTAGCCTCTCAATAAACTGAAAATTAAGGTCGAGTTTCCGAAGCAGACAATCAACCATTAAAATGTGTTGCAGATAATGATACCGTACATTATTCGAATAAACGATCCACTTTAAATAACCACCCCACTCAAGTAATAATGGTCACTATCGAATGACTCGCTGGTCCAAAGGTTAATTTTGGCTTTTAGATAAATTATTCACCAAAAACCAAAGTATGATACAGTAGTTGGTCTATGATTTTTTTGGCCTATGACAATTTCGCCAGTTTGGCTCTCGTCTAATTAGATAATATTCTGTTTTCATTGTTCAAAATCTTTAAGCTTTTGTAACATGTTTTGAAACCAGACGAAAGGAGTGGCTTGGCAGCATAGGCAATAGGGGCGTGCACAGATATAGACATCACTGTATTCACCCAAAAATTTGGAAATTACAGATACTATTTTGGTCAAACAGTGGCCCGTTTAAATGATTAAAATTTATTTGAATATAAAACAGTCAGCTTCTAAATTGAAATATATTATATTCGATATTTTGTTCGAATGAGAGAACGAACGAACGAGCAAGCGAACGTACGAATGAAATAATGAGGGCCATATTCGGGTCTTCAAGGTAAAAAACGCCTAAACTTGAAATATCTCATTTTTCTACAACGAATATGAAAGATGATAATAATTATATAGTAAACTGCAAACCCACCATATTAAAGATTAAATTGTTTTAATGCTGAAATGCGAAACAAAATCAATACAAACACAACAACATTCAACTTGATCTTCGAACTTCACTTTAGAAGTTTAAATCGTTTAATAATCTGTGATTTCAAATTGTACATACTAATCTACTGTCTAGAAACGAATAGTGAAGTAGAAATGCATGACGTCAACAACACTCAGATATGTGACGACATCGAACACGTGACATTCGTGATATGATTATTGCAAACTTTTCTCGGCCATGGCGAGGAAAGAGTGGTCTTTAAGAGGTGTTAGTTGTGCTATACTTTCTTCAAAATTTCTCCCTTTCAAGTGCAGTATTTCTAGCTTTTTTTTTCTGCACTATTCAATGCCCAGAACTTTTTAAGCATTCTACCTGAAGTTCTGTCCACACTGTCAAATTTCATAGACATATCTGTAAATTGCCCATATATGGGTATGCCATGACGTCATTATCGATGACATCATTATCGACATCAAACATTCAGCCTCAACTAACCAAGAATATAAGAAAGCACTGCCTCTAATTGTTTGGACCATGGAGGTATAAAATAATTGAACACGTACAGAAAATGGACAATTTACCCAAATTTCACTAATGGGAACCAACACATGCCGAGACAGACTGTCAGACAGCAAGTGCAGATGATGTATGTTGCTGTCTTGTAGGTAGGTAGGCATGGTGTCATCATGCCCATATATGGCATATTGCACAAATCGATCATATAAAACTTGATGGTGTAAACAGAACTTTACTTCAAACTAAAGTTCTTACTGTTAATTTCTTCATTTCAAATTTATATTTTCCTGATATAAGATATTATTATTGAAATGTGAAAAATAGAAACCTAATAATCAGTTTAATATCACCATAATTGATAAAATGCATCAAGATTCTTTTAATTACTTTTTAGTAAACCATGTGATTAATATAAATATTAATATAAATATCAAGCATGCAAAAATGCATGGAAAGATGATTTCTTAATACCATGTATACAATATTCTTTGTTAGTATAGCTTCATTATATTAAGGTATACTGTACAGTAATGGAGTTCTATACACTTCACCGCACATATATAGAAAGAAAATAAAAACTGACCAGAAAAACAAGGCTATTCAGTATATATAAAAGGATATCAATGTAGTATCAACAACAATAACAGTAAAATCGAGAATACGTATATCTTAAATTATAAGCATGTTCTTATCTGTGCACACCAACTATTTCGCTATTTATTTGTGTATCTATGCACCTATATCAGGTGTTGGGGGGAGTAAACTGGAAATCAGCATGGTCTCATGCACTTGCGTATCTCCCAAAAATGTGCAATAACTTTGCATTTCGAAAACTATAATATGCAGGTTTCAAAAATATTATACAGAGACACTACCTTAAAAATACCAAACAATAATTATATATTCTCTTATGTCATAACCACTGAAATCAACGCCTGTCACTGATATTTGCTTCCAAACTATGAAGCTCAGTTTTTCCCTCCAACAATGGACAGGATGAAGATAAAGATGTAGACGATGTCAATGTAGAGACAGAGGGCGCCATATATGTATTCCTCAGGATCAAGCTCGTAGCGTTTGCCTCCCATTATCAACTGAGTGTCATAGGCCAAGAACTTAGAAAAAAAAAAACAACACCAAAATGTTTATGTTTCACTCTAGTGTATTTTGTTTACATATGGGGAGTTACCAAAATGATAAATATTATAATTGTCACTCAATTTATTAGCAGGGGTCCCAAGTTGGAAGAAGTCATAGCACATCTAATTTTGTTTTGCTACTTACAGTATGGTGATATCAATCTACACTGACTTCCGTGGAACAAATGATAATAAAGGGGTAATACAGTAAGTATAAACATGCAGATTAAATTGCGGAAACATTACCCTATCCAACACTGCTAGGCTAGGCCTAGCCTTACCTCGATTTAGGTTCTGTTATCACACATAAAAACGGTCGACATGATATTTTCCGTTGCTAGTATTGACACTTATGAAATATAATATTTTTTAGGAATTATTTCAAATCTGATAAAAAAATGATTCTGACCGAGATTTTGACAATTAAATAAACATATCTCAGGCCTACTCGATCGACCGCATTGTGCGATGTGCGAAGTACAAAAACTAATTTCATATAGAGAGAGCGCACTTTATTGACTGTATAAAGTATACATAAAAGCGAGAGCTCTCCAGCGGATGCGATCTACAACAACTGAATTCTTTTACGTAAAACTAAAATTTATGCCAAAATTTTTCCATTGTATGCATTTTTTTCTTTAAAAAAATTCTTTTTTAGTGAAATTTTGCCAGGAATGGTCCATTAATTTGCAGGAAATTGGCTATTTTCCGGGAGATTCTTGTCCGGTTGCAGAATGCAGGAGGCCGTCCCAAATTGCAGGAGACTAGGGACCCATGTGCATTAGCATCATCATCATCATTATATACATAATATCAGCCAACAATGGTAACAACAACAAATTTCCAGTCCTATAATGGAACAATACAATAACAAAAAACAAACTTTTTATTTCATATCGTATAAAGCAGTTATGATAACAAAGGGAACCTACCAAACTGAAAAGAACAGCTCCAAGCCAGGCATAAACAGTGTACAAGATCTAATGGAAAGACAAAGAAATGCATGACATACGTTAAGAGTAATGAAGCCAGTTTTGTCTAGGAAAATTTATTCGCGAAAAGCGAATGAGTTTGACCATAAGCATGTGGAATGGTACATTGATTAACTTTTGGTAAGAAAAGGTCAAAGGACAAGGTCAAGGATTTTTTTTTTTTATCCTCGAGTAAAAAAAAAACGAAATTGCACATCATACACAGCCTGCATATTGTTCAGTATTCAGACAGCACAGAGTAATTTATGGAGTGATTGCAGGCTGATAGTTAAGAACCTATGACATAATACAAGGTGTCTATAAACTAAAGTGAATTTGTATTTTATTATTTTATGGAAGTGGGTAGCCTTATCTGAATTGACAAATCTTCAGATGACAATTTATACTTTGTTTATCCTCAGCAGCCCCTACCAATTTCATCTAATTATATTTCTGTTAAATGCCGAAATATTTATATTTAAAACACAATTCTTGTAATAGAAGCTGTTTACTAACCTGACTGTAGGTGAAAATGGCAATGAATCCAAAAATAAAGAGAGACAAACTAAACATAAACAGAAATCCTCCACACAGAGTGAAGTCAAATTTTGTCTGCATGGAGAAGATCGTCACACCAATAGTGATGCCCTGAACATGGATGAAAAATACAAACGTTATGAGTTTTATTTCATCCACTTATTTTTAATATTCAACAAATTTCCCACTTCAAATACAGTGAAGAAAAAAAGTCAACAGGTGACAAGCACATTCTCCTGATCTCTAATTTGCTATGTATCAAGGACTAGTGCTGTCCTACTAAAGCATGTACAACAGTGTGAGGAATTAGTTGCTTAAAAATCGGATTTGAAATTTCCAACAAAGGCTCAATGGCCCAGTTAATTAAGAAATCTGCATAAACAGAAGAAGGTCCCATGTTTAAATTCCGGTTGAGGGAACTTCTTTTTTCGTACTCGCAGATTCCTCTTCTTTAACGTTTAAAATTTATATATGTAATTATAGCCACAAAACGGTTTATATTTTACCTCTATTATATCATGATTTATATTATATACTAAAATTTTAAAAAGTAGGAAGTAACATACACAAGTGATTCCAAAGGCAATCAATACGGATTCAATGTCATAGAATCTGAAAAACAATTTGAATATAAATTAAATGCTATTAAATTACATATTTTTATAATAGCATAAACTTTTATATGGAATGGAATGGATATATTTGGTTAAAACACCAAGGATAACCCAAGAAAGTCTAAAAAGACTTATTTCGAGTGGGGTCCTTCTGGTGGTTGATGGGTAGTACACCGAGAGACAATCTTCTACTCTTTTCTGAAGAGTGTACTGTGTTCTTTAACATGCACATGGGCCCATAATGTACATATGACCAGTGGCTTAGACATCTCATCTGAAATACAGTGTGCTATCGTAATTTGCATTTCAGCTCTCCAGCTGAAACATAAGGAGAACAGCGATGGAAATTGAACCGGGGACCTAGAGATCTCTCAGACTCAACGCACACACAGTGGCTACCACCAGTTTAGCTGACTGAGCTAAGCCACTAACTCTATGACATCCCAAAACCACAGTCGCTAAATGTCAAAGTGAGTAATTAGCATAAGAATGTGGCAGTATTGTATACTTTAGTACAGATAAGCCGTAATAATTTTACTCATAACTTCGGCAAAATAAAGTTGATTCTAGTATTTATGAGCCATCATTTTAAAGCTTATAATGTGGAGAATGTTGATATTAAAAACTAAATATTCTTGTTTTGGTCAGAAGGGCTTTCAATCCTTCATTGTGCATTTCACTTGTGTACTTTAATAAGCAGTGCCGTATCTAGAAGCTTGAAATTGGGGTGCTGATGGAGGGAGGGCAGGGGCGGATCCAGAGATGTCCAAAAGGGGGGGGCCGAAAGGGGAGGCCGAAATTTGGGCTGATTGAGACAAAAATGTCCTAGGGGTTCCGGGGGCATGCCCCGCGAAATTTTTGTGTTCTAGACGCCCGAAAATAACATTTTAGGCGTTGTGGGCTATCATTTTTTTCTTTCTTTTTTTTTTTTTTTATTTTTTTTTCTTTTTTTACCTCCCAAAGGGGGGGGGGGGCTTAATCCCCTAAATCCGCCTCTGGAGGGCCTGAAGGTGAAATGCGGGGGATCGATGATCAGTTGAGGAGCATTAATTTGTAAAATAAGGTGATTGTAGTTGATTGGGGGTGCAAGTTATTTGGGGGGGGGGCATGCACCCCCTGTGCACCCCCTAGATACGCCACTGTTAATAAGCAAGGCACTTTATCTACATTGCTTCAGTCTACCCAGCTGTATCAATGGGTAGAGCATCATACTCTTATTCATTTCACTGTACCTGAAACTGAGTTAAGCTCCAGAGCCCTGGGGCTCGGCATTGATTTACTTTATATATTCTGTAGATACAGGTCAATTGAAGCCCCAGATCAACTAAGCCCGAAGTCTACTCGGCCCCAGTCCAAAAACGTAATCGTGTCTATGGACAAATTAATGATATAAGATTTTCAAAATATTTATTTGGTAAAGAATTACTTACGTGGTAATCATTGCCACCATGTAGGACAATGCCAGCGTCTGAAAGAAACCATCGAATGTATACATAAATTGTTTAATATTTAAAATTGTTGTTGTTAATAAATAAAAAGTATTATATAAAATAAAAACAATAAATGGAAATGATATGGTGGTGATGATGATGATGATGATGAAGAAGACCAGACTTCATTTTTAGAGGTCTGCCAACTGAATGTGGCTTTTATCAAAATAGACATTAAATAATTCACTGTACAATTGATGTCAGCTTATTGAGAATCTTAGATGGAGGCAGTAATACAGTGCTTGTGAATTGCCTTAATATTAATCTAATAATATTTTCAAGCAATAGGGAACAATTACATGACCAACACTACATGTATGCAAAAATTCATAACCAACAGGTGTTTGGAAATTTAAGTTTGCTTGTTCACAAAATTTGTGATGAGTTTGATGGCATCAGCTTCACAGATGCACATGCAGAGGCCATTGCAAAGGTTGCTATCGCTTTATAGCATAGGAGATGATAATGATGATAATGAAAATGATGGAAGATGATGAAAATGATGACTGATTCCAAAGTAAAAATTTTAATATTAATAGTTCCTGTGTTTGTGTCCATTTTGAGGCTGAGTTCTTTAAATTTTTTCCTGATTCCTTTTATGTTACATTTTAATTATTATGTATTCTTAACTTACGACGTGTTGGTTATTAACAATCCTGATAATTTGTTAAAAATATTAAATGTTAAAAAAAAAATCTCACTTACGAAGACACTGAGTGCAACAATATTTTGAGGACTCTTTCGACGGAAAGTGGGGCAACATACGAGTGTTATGTACGTCACCAAGAAAACCGCGCTGCAAGGTAAGCAAAAGTAATTTATCATTATTTAATTATGTTTTTTAATATTTAATTCAATCTGCAATATAAAATTGTATAAACAGGTATTCCAAGTTGAATGCGATGGAAAGGCTATAATTTATCACACCCAGAATTGCAGATACAGCAATTCAAAATAGAGGTGCCCACGTGGGAAGACAAAAGTACCATGGTTGGGGCATCTTTAGATGGCTGGAAATAGCATTCTCAAACATGAATTTCAATTTAATTTATATTTTTCCCTATTCTTTTTTTAAACTTCAAAAATGTATGAAGGGAAGTTGGGGGGGGGGGTGGTAGGCTTGAATCTACTTAAATACCTGGTAGGAGTGGGGAGGTTGTCAAAGAAACTATTTTAGTGAAGAAATGAGTAAACCTGGAGATTTGTTTTTCCATGATCAAATCTCCTTTAACGGTTAAATTTCATGTAATTTGGGGACTGTGAATTCCAATAATTTAAAAATGTTGTCAGTAAAATAACAATAATAATTTTTTATTTGTCCTCAGCTTGAAAATTTGAAATTTGATGTAAACCGCTGGGGACACACGAGTGCAGCACCACCTGACTTAACTAAAACATATAGAAAATACATAGGGACACATAGTCCTTACCCGCCAAACTCTAAAAGTGAGGGTTATTCAAGTAGCCAACCCGCTCAGAACTCCAATTCAAAGACGCCCCTATGAACAAGGGTCTACTTTGCCATTAGCAGTAACATTACCTCTCAGCCAAACACCCAGCTTATTTAAAAATGATGTAATTATAAGCAAAATACATTTACAGACACATAGAAAGGGTCACAGATCCCTCGTCAGTGACGAGGACGTATCCCCATAATGCAGTTTGGGTGCTGGCTTGGAGTTCTCCCTTCCATATTTTTCGAATTACATATATTTACTTGTTTCTGCGCATAGAGACCCAACAGTATTTTGCACAGAATAAATGCATAACTTTCAACCTTTTAAAATAATACTTTTGTTACTTACTATGCCAGGTAGTACATCCATGCTCCATCAGTTCGCACCCAATCTTTGACTGGCTTACTGTAAAAGAAACGAATAACAGTCAATACATGTGCAAACAACCATTCTACAAAATATGGGTAGCGACCCAATTTTGGGTCATGGAAAAATTTTATAGGTTGCATAATCTCTTTACATTGTCGAGAATTTACTTTATAAGAACGACAAACAAATTCAGAATTACAGTAGTGTGGCATATACAGTATAGTTGTATAGATAGTATAGTTTAGATCAATAGCTTCATTTTCAATAATATACCTGTACCATCAAAACTTTTCTACTTCAGGTATGACAAGTGAATACTTGACATTTAATTTGAGTTGTGGGTTAAAAAGGTTGCAAATAATTATTTTAGCTACAAAATGAAAGATGTAGCAATATGAAATAAACCACTATATAGTGAATTAACTTACAATAATCCAAACAGGATAGAATATGAGGTAAAAATAATAATAATAATAAATAATAATAATAATAATAATAATAATAATAATAATAATAATAATAATAATAATAATGACGGCAGACTTATATAGCGCATAATGTTAAGCCCTCTACGTGTTTCACATTATCACTACCCTGGTCATTGGATTAAACGCCTATGAAATGAAAGATACGAAATGAAAGATGTAGCAATATGAAATAAACCACTATATAGTGAATTAACTTACAATAATCCAAACAGGATAGAATATGAGGTAAAAATAATAACAATAATAATAATAATAATAATAATAATGACGGCAGACTTATATAGCGCATACTGTTAAGCCCTCTATGTGTTTCACATTATCACTGCCCTGGTCATTGGATTAAACGCCTATGGAACACAAACTCAAGCTCCCTGGCGGAGTATTCCATAATGCTGCAGCAGCTACATCAGCGCATTTTGGCATTTAACCGTACCAGGTACCATACTCCCGGGTGGAGAGAATCAATGGCGCTAAAGTACCTAATTAACATTTATGAGGTACAGTAATAATAATTTAATTTATCACTCACATGAAGTACACGATTGCTGTTATCCCAAAGGTCACCAGCAGTTGGACGCTTAGGGTTATGTAAACCTGCAAAAAATAAAATAAAAACTAACTAATAACAAAAAAGTCCATTGAATAAAATGTTAGCACCTGCAGCAGAAGCACTGTTATCATCCTGTCTCTTATACACATCTAGATGTGTCCGGGGGATTTCCCCGAGAAATTTTTGTTTTCTAGACGCCCGAAAATAACCTCTGAAGCACTTTAGGAGATCAATTATTTCTTTTTCTTTCATTTTTTTTTTTGCCTTTCCAAAACTCCCCCTTCCCCTGCCCCTAAATCCACCCCTGGATCCAGGGAGGGACTTTTACAGATTGAAGATCTAGACCACCTAAGCCAACAACCATGTATGGGGCTGAGACAAGAAAATCAATGGATGGATGGCAGAAAATGGCACTTTCACACTTGTAATTGCAAATTTTTTAGTCCTACCTTGCGAATAAACAACCGTCTAACATTTTTTTCATTGAATTTAGCAGTGAAGCCACCGCTTTCTCCATTATCTCGCGGAGAGGCTGAAGCTGCAAGAGGTTGAGTATAGCTGGTAGCTTCTGGGTAAGCTGTTGAGCCTTAATACACAATTAAAAAAAAAACAAACAAACTTATATTAATGTAAAATTTCAAGCGCATCATCTGTGTCATATTCTTTCTCAATGCACTGATTCTACCTTCATTTACGCTTTCTCTTGTAACATTGTAAGTCCTGCAACTTTTTACGCACTTCCAAAATCTTAAATTTACAGATTTAAGCAATCTTTAGAACTCTGTTGCACGTATTATAAAATTCACACAGACTGTCACCGTCACATAACTATTGTTCTCAGAGAGATAAAATAAGTGCCGGTCTACAACCCTCCACCAGGGTTATGTTCGCAGGGCCAAGTCTTTTTCAGGCATGGGATTAAAAGTGGAAGATCAATGCAATACAGTTGCTGCAGTCTATAGTCACGGACCATGCCCATACATAATTCAGCACAATGAAACTGTGAGCTATACATTTTATTATGATTTAGTTTCATTTATCTGATACATCTCTCGTCTTTTGTTCATGTAAAATGCAGAGGCGTTGTTCAGTGGCGGTTCCAGGAATTTTAAATTGAGGGAGACCAGGGAGGAAACTTCACAGAAGATTTGGAAATGCCACTCTCATTTTCAGACATAAATTTAATTATAACTTTCCTTTTTACTCAATTTTGTTATAATATTGAAAAAATTAGGGGGAGGGGAAGGACCGTTTTGCTTCCCCCTCCTAAATCAACCACTGTAGTTGCTCTTTCATCATACTATATTTTCTTTGTTATGTAAACCCCAAAGTGTTGCTGTTGCTCCCATTGTAATATTCTTATCTTAAATTAAGAATACAATATTATGATTTATGACAACAACAGTGGCAATAATACTAAATTAATCATAAATCATAACATTTTAGTATGTTATTAGATAAGAGAAATCTATTCTGTTAGTACTAGTAACAATGATAAACCTTTCCAACTCTTTAATTGGCTTTAAACTTAAAGCTTGTATGTACCTTAGTTACTGTAGCCTGTTTGAACATTATGATTTAAGCAACAGCAACAATATTAAAATTATTTAATATTATTTAGTAATGCAAACTATACCACCTTCTGAGCTGATCATTGTAGTATGTTATTAGATAAGAGAAATCTATTCTGTTAGTACTAGTAACAATAATGATAAAACTTTCCAACCCTGTAATTGGCTTAGCTTATAGCTTAGTCACTGTTGGCTGTTTGAACATTATAATTTAAGCAACAGCAAAATTATTAAACTATTTAAAATGTTTAGTTATGCGAAATGTACCACCTTCTGCTCTTATTATTTTAGTATGTTCTTAGAGAAGAGTAATCTATTTTGTTAGTACTACATTAGTACATTTCCCACCCTGTAATTTGCTTATCTAAAGCTTATACTGTACTGAAGCTTAGTTACTATAGCCTGTTTAAACATTATAATTATGCAACAGCAACAATATTCAATTATTTAATATTTTTAAGTTATGCAATTTAACTTACCACTTTCTGATCTTAGCATTTTAATATGTTCTTTAATAAACGCAATCTATTTTGTTAGTACTAGTTACAATAGTAATGATAAACCTTTCAAATTGGCTTATTTAACGATTGTAGCTTAGTTAACATAGCCTGTTTGAACACTATGATTTAAGCAACAGCAACAATACTAAATTATTTAAAATTGTTAGTTATCCTTACCATCTTAGCATTACATTTTTAAACATGTAGCCTGTTTGTTCAAAACTGGACAGCGAGTCAGCCTGTCTGTCCCATTAATTCAATATCATAAATCAAATGTTCTAGAATTAATATTTTAATGATAAAATCTTAAGTGGAATGTTCTTTTAGGAAGCTAATTCAAATTAACAGAGTATCCAGACTACAGTTAACAAAATCCTGTTTATTCATTCATATTTTTTTTTATTAGGAAAAATTACTCTACTTTACTATTCAACCATAAAACCTGGAAATCATAATTAGATTTAACTTCCTGCAGTGTTCTCCCTAGCATCATGGGCAAGAATCATGGTAAGTGTTAAGCCCACTATAGTTGGGACTGACACAAGGTATTTTCAATAAAAATTTACGAGGCATTGAAATGTCCTAAATTGCACTTTATAAGAATATATAAAAGCAGGGAACAGTTTTAAATAATTTAACTGTACCCTGATAAAAGCATCATGGAAAATGTTCCAAGAATAATGGCCAACTGTCAAGTACCATGGGGAAATCCCAAGCATCATGATACTGTACCATGATGCTTCACAAGGGCCTGGGGAGAACACTGTCCTGCATTCTTAAAATTGTGCGGACAGGAACCACTTTCTGCAAACCTCTTTCATGGAAGGGGTTGTTTCAGTGTTTGAGGTTTGGTCTCCCAATTTTGATGTCAGGGGTGGAATCCTAGTTTCCTTTTAAATAATGAGTTCCCAAAGGAAATTCTGTATTGAGGTACACAAACTATTAGTACAATCAAACCAATGAAGAACACATACCAGTAAGCTATAATGTCAAGGTGGTACAGTTACAGTAGCAATGAGGTATAATACCACCAAAAAAAATTAAGTACATAAATTATAAGGTACTAAAAACAGTACAGATAAATACAGTATGTACACATGCCTAGGAAGAATGGTAGCTGTAGAAAACTAAGGGTGAGTGATGATAGACATTTTAAGAGTTAGTGGGTGATAACATTGGTAAATAATAATAAGACTAAGAATGGATTTTAAGGATAGAAAAGTGAGTTAATAAGGGTGGGTGGAAGGCCATGAAATTAGCTTTAGTCGAAGTGGAAAACTTCAAGGCGGGGTGGCCCCGCCCACCATACCGTATCTACATCTGTGCATGTCATATGTACATTATTCAGGAATAAATTTTAATGAATGATTGATTGTATTGTAGGACCATGAGTTACACATTAAGTACAGAAATAGAGAGGTATTGTACTAAGGAGATTCTGGGCAAAAAAGGTACAGCCCATAGGAGGCACAGTACAATACAGCACCAATAAGGCACAGTACAATACAGGCACCAATAAGGCACAGTACAGTACTACAACACCACTGAGGTACAGTACAGTTCCAATGTGGCAGAGTACAGTACTGCACCAATCAGGCACAGTACAGTACCAACGGTGCACATTACAGTACACCACCAATGGGGTAGAGTACAGTACACTACCAATGGGGCACAGTACAGTATAGCACCAATGAGGTACAGTACAGTATACCACCAATGGGGTACAGTACAGTACACTACCAATGGGGCACAGTACAGTGCACACTACCAATGGGGTACATTACAGTACACCACCAATGGGGTACAGTACAGTACACCACCAATGGGGTACAGTACAGTACACTACCAATGGGGTACAGTACAGTACACCACCAATGGGGTACAGTACAGTACACCACCAATGGGGTACAGTACAGTACACTACCAATGGGGTACAGTACAGTACACCACCAATGGGGTACAGTACAGTACACTACCAATGGGGTACAGTACAGTACACCACCAATGGGGTACAGTACAGTGCACTACCAATGGGGTACAGTACAGTACACCACCAATGGGGTACAGTACAGTGCACTACCAATGGGGTACAGTACAGTACACCACCAATGGGGTACAGTACAGTACACTACCAATGGGTACAGTACAGTATAGCACCAATGAGGCACAATACTAAAGTGGTGAATGACCATAAAGTATCATAATCCAAGGCAGCTGTATTTTTCATATTCAAATTGATATACCATATCTATTACATGCTAATTATTTCATATAAATACAAACATACTGTAAATGTAAATGAAATATAATAGTATGACAACGTGCTTTCTACAAAACTGCTATAATTAAAAAATTATTTAAAAAAAAAACAAAAAAAACAAACATTTTAAATAATAAATCATAACTTCATATACAATCATGGGTTTCTTCAACACATGAAGTGAAAAATTATAATGATTTGGCACGGCAAAGAACTACAGATAAAGCGTTGTCCAGACTATGGCATTATTTTACAAAAAAAAACAGTTGTATGCCCATATATAGTCATGAAATACCTATATATGGTCACGATGTGATGTCATCATGACCATATTTAGGCATGTCACATGTTTTTGTCAAATAAAATTTGATAGTTTGGACAGGGTGTAAATAGCAATACATATAGCATTTTGTGAATCAAAGCTTGATAAAATATTCATGAGCAATAATGAATATTCATGTATTAGCATTACAACAATTAAAAAGAAACAGATGATTGACAATTGACAATCAAATAACATTGTATTTTAGAACTGACTATTATTTAATATCATTTATTAATGTTATAGAATGCTATATGAGATTTTAATAAGTGTTGTTGATAGAAATTTGTAGTCAACACAGTTGTTTGGATGAAATAGACTTTAATATTATTTATTAATATTATGGTAATTAATATTATTAGATATTATTTAGTGTTGAAGTAGAATTCTGTAATGAACACAATGTTTATTTTAACAACCATGTTTTTAACCTTAAAAAAAAAATTAATTGATGACAATGTAATGGTCATGTTTGTAATTTATCTAGTAATGTAATCTTTAAATTCAGTCGGCTAATCTGGCAGCCAATCCAATCCTAACACAATACAGTATCCTGCCATGTCAAATGTTATATACACAAGAAATGAATGGATGAATGATTGATACAATTATATCTTAAAAAATTCACAAGTTATAATTCATAATCCACAATACCAAGAAAATTTATAATTTATGGATATTTATCAAATGAATTATTCATGACAATGAATCTGAAAGTGAATAATGTTGAGTCAGCAGCCTCAACAAATATGAGCCATAATGGTATAAAGGTAAATGTATGCTGGTCAGTTTCCTATTAAATACAGCAGGCTGTATGATCAAGATGGTGATAAACATCACTACAGTACATTATTTCACTGATGTGATTTATACTTGACAAAAATGAAAAGTCAGATTTGGGGAAAGACAACTGTACAATAGTCTTATTTACAGTACAACAGCAAATGAGTTTCATGAAATGTTGTGACTTAACATGTCTGTTGAAAATGTATAAAATCATTATTAAAATGCCTACCAGATGTCAGTATGCTTAATTTAGATTTAATTCCCAATGTCAATCATCACTGAAACCAATAATAAAAATAATATAAAATAATAAAAATAACATAAAATAATAAATATAAAAAAGTGGCAAGATAGTTAGATGCAACAAGCTGTAGACTAAAATAAAAAGACATTTAGACTTGCAGTGAGAAATTCCTTACCTGGTTGTGCCATGGGTGGGTAGGCAGGGTTGTTACCATGTGTATAAGAGACAGGCCTTATATGTGTATACATACATAAAAAAAATTGAGTAGTTGACCAAATCCAATAAAAAGACCACTTTTGTGTGGTCCCAAATTTAAAATTTGTCCTTTATTTTGCTTTTATAATTAGAGACCAAAGCTGCTAAAGACCATGGAAATGCTGGTCTCAAAATGGTCCTTAATTGGAGGGAGACCTGTACAACATGTACTAGATAAAAGTTCAAGTGCAGTATATACAACTTGATGAATGTTCATTCATAGTATTTTATTTTATTTGATGTTAAATTATTCAAAATTTTATTATAGTAAATTTAATTTTCAGACAAAGTAAAATAACACACATGTAGCATATACTACATTAAACAGGCTTGACAATGTTTTTCGAATGTACAGTTTCAAACTCCTGTGAAAACAAATCTATAATTTATAAGTAGAGTGAAGTGAAAAACAGGGGACCTCCTACGTCACCTATCGCATTGTTCAATTGATAAATGCAATTAGTAAAACTCATGTATTTTACCACAGCATGGAGTGCCTTCCAGAAGAAACAATTCACAAGATTGTTGCATGTGCATGTGTGACACTCTCAATGCCCAAAGTCACATGACTTTGAACACTAAATTGTTTATTGAACTACATAATATAGTATGTCAAACAATATATTGTATTATTGTAATCTAAACAATAAACTAAGGAAAACATTGAAATAATATCTAATATTCAATGCAAAGTGCACTCCAGAATGGCTCCATAGTTTTATAGAGCCTTCTGCAAAGATCAGAATTGTATTTATCGTGTTTGCTATGCAAAGTTTTATGGTGTTACTTTTTCTTTAGGTTTATCAAGATTATTTGTATTTAAAGGTCTATAATAATTTTTCAGAGGATATCGATATTCATGGTATTAATTTGGACGATATACAGTAAACAAAGTACTGTAGCAAATGTTTCCTCAAAATGAAGCTGTGAACCCATTCCCCTCTGGAGCAGCAGCAGACGTGCAGTAATGGTAGGTGATTGCTCCACCAGCTTGTGTTAAAAAATGGGTTTCCCTTGTGACAACGGCTGTATCTGTCCCAAAAGTTAAGAATGCTCTGTTACTATTACTGACCTCTGACCTATTTCCTAAACTTGTGTTCTTGCCAGGGTACTAAGAATAAATTTGATTTTATTTAGACGATTTGGCAGTTAAAAAAAGCTTCCTCATCCGATTAATCTGTTAGCCTCATTAACGCAATGAGAATGCTGAGAAGGCTGGAATGTTAACCTAACGTATAATTCTCGCATACTATAAGACGACCCCAAGTTTAAAAAGATTTTTGGATGCTTTTTGTATGTCAGGCGTATAAAACAACCTACCTGTTTGAACATCAGAATTCCTGTTATTTGGTGTTATTTATGGTTAAAAGGGAGTCAAATGTAGGGAAAATCTTCCAAATACTGTAATACCATTTAATGGGCTTTTAATGTACTCCTAAGCCATTATGCATATATTTCTTGCTTTTTCTTCACTCTCTGATGTTCAGTGTCTTTTTCATCTACTGTAGATTTACAATTATTTCTTTGCCTACCTGGGCGATTCAATATTATATGAATACAAATAGTAGCAATTATAAAAAGAACTCATCTAGAATCGTCCTAGTAATATGTATTAAAATAGCCTGTCGCTAAGCTTAGATGGAGTAATGCACCTGGCACGCCATCACAAAGTTAGTTTAGAGTCTACGTAACGAACACGCACAAGGTTCATAATTTCAAGACTGGGATATTATGTACAGTACCTAATTATGCTAAATCAATTTTTAAAATCGGTAAACTTCTCCTTTAATAGATAATACTAAGCATTTTGTTCCATAAATGAATTTCCAATTTTAATGTTACTTTTACTTTTTGTCTTGTGCTAATGCTTGGTTAATGTTTTAAAATTTGTTAAATGTATCATGTAATTCAGCCTTGGATGCAATTCAGATGAAATGAAAGAAAGTGAAACTGATACGTTCTGTCAAAAAATGATTGTGAAACCCTCCAAATTGTCATATTATGGTTGGAAATGTTTTTAAGAATCAATCTGCGGATATTACATCACCCTCTTTTTGTTGTCATACAGGTAACACCAAAAACACCATCTGCAGGACCTCTAAAAGAATATTTTTTAAGTCGATATCAAAACCAATGATCTATTAACTGTGTATATAATAACTTATAAGAACCAATTTGGAATATGCCACCCGTGTGCTGGCCCGGATGGCACAGCTAAGTAACGCTTAGAACTGCAAATTCAAATTAACATATACTTCTTCAAACATAAATCTTACAATTAATACAATTAAACAATCGGATTTCATTTTAGAAAGAATGAAGGATTGTGTGAAGAAGGGCAATGCTCAAAAAGTATACACCAAATGCGTACAAGCTCCGCTTTCTGGATTTCGCTCCCCCACCAGCTGGTTATTTATTATTTTATATATGCATTATTATTACTTTTGAGAAATAAATGTTCTTTTGAACTTGAAATGCAAAATAGAGAAAAAGACCATTTATCAAGCGGCACTTTCGTACACTCTCTGATTGGTTGATAGTTTACACAAATACCAATCAAGGTAAAGCTTTGATCAGTGTCTCACAAGAGTAATTTATACATACCAAGCTTGAACATTATAACAAGATTGTGGCAGAGATTTACAACACTCCAACTATAATGTAGTTAAACTTGTCTAAGTCGAATCCAAAATGCCATTGAAAAATTGCTCAACTTAAATAAAATTTGACTTACAGTTAGTTAATTAATGGAAAACACAACGATTTGGCATGTTAAATAAGTGCAACATAAACATTATTTGAGTTATAGGCAAAGTTGACTTAGGCAAGTTTAGATGTAACCTTTAGATAATCACCCAAACAAATATGATCAATACAAGGGCTGAGGAAAAAAACAATAAACAAGAGAAAACATAAAGAGAGTAAACATAATACTGTTTCATTTAAAAACTATACAAAGGTGCAGCTATCATGTTAAAGTAGATAAAATAAACATACCATAACTTTGTGGGGGGTAAGCTGGGTCAGAATATACGCCTACAGGGGGTGCAGTTGGTTGGACTGGAGCAGGGCCATATCCGTACTCCGTCGTTGACTGTTCATAGCTGGGTGGAAGTGGCTGTGTCATTATTTTCTAAAAAAATAAAAAGAAAAATATAATGCTAACAAGAACAGAGGAAGTAGCAATGGGCCTAACTGCAAGCTTATGGTAATCAAATTTTACAAACTTTTTAAATCAATAACTCAATGACTCAAAAGTTTGATTTTAATAAAGTGAGTTTATAGAACATAGTATTGTATTTTGTGGCCTACTTAGGAGAAGATAAACAATAAAAATAATAATGTTAAATACAGTTGCATAATTAATGCAATTGGTTGCTTCATATGTACATCACTAAAGCAATCACATAACAACCATATTAAACACTTCTGCTTGTTCTGGTGCAATGGCATATCTATGGAGTGCAGAGCGCAAACTACCCCCGCCCAAAAAAAATGCTTGCACTCTACCCCTTATTATGCAACCTAGCTCCTACTCTGTTAATCATCAAGTCCCCACCACGCTCCCCCCTCTCCCACCTCCCAATTTCAAGGTGAGTCGCGTGGCAGAGTGTTAAGGCAGGGGCGTTGCTAACTACAGCCTTAACATCGGCGCTGGTTCCAGCCACTCCTTACCCAGGATTGAGTTGGTAGAACCAAGTTCTACGCTGTAAGTTATGGCTTATTCTCCTACTGTACCTATACCTACAGTATGTCACTGTGTTGTTGTATTTCCTGTATTATTTGAACAAGTGACAAATCGCCTGCAAATCTCCAGGCATCACAGAATGAATGAAAGTTGTCACTGACTTCCTGAATCAACCACAAGACAGCAATTGCTGTTTATACAGTATACGGTCCACTGCTATGGTACAGGTAAATACACTTTTGCTGAGAAGCCACCTAACCAAGGCCTAGCAATTGATTTCATTTTAACTACGAAGCATGTTCATGATAGAAGAAGAATAAATTGCTGCCATAGCCAACAGCAAGTAATTGCTATGAAACTTTTGAGAAAATTTTGTAATTACGAGTATTCATAATTAAGGCCTACGCATAAATTGCTGCAGTACTGATTAATTTGTTACTGTAAATCAAATATACTTTTATATCTGAATTTTAAAATACACTATCAATGAAGTTACTGTTACACACCTTCACTTTTTTTTTTGTAGTTAGTTTTGTAATATATAAATTATATTAAAACTATATTTTACTGTATTTCCATTTATTTGTGTATTTTATAAACATGATCAGCAGATAGCAGACGAATCAAAGTTAATGGTGATATATATGCAGTAGGTAAACACACGTGACACCGACACTGCCATCGCACGTGTTGAAAGAATGTGTGGGTCATTCCATGTCAACACACCCAAAATTTTTTAACTCAACAGACTCCGATTTTGATGAAAATTGGTCTACATGCTGGGTTTGGCATCAAACGTGCAAATCTCAAATTTTAGTAAAATCGAATCAATATTTTGGAAATAATTGGCCAAAATGGGTGTGGCTTCCAACGTTTAAACCTTAATATCTCAGCAGTGGGTTGACCGATATTCATAAAATTGGTATTTCTGAAAAGAGAATTAACCAAGGAATCTAAATCTGCCACTACTTTGGAAAATTGACCATATTTAATGTCAATGATCTTTTGACGTTCTTTTTGACCTCAAATTTGACCTTGTGGATTGCATCGCCGTGAAATATTATTTCATGTAAATCATGGACCCGGGTGTTAGCTACGACATTTAAAAAAATTGGAGATGTAATATTTCTTATAAGCAAGTAATATATAGTCAAAACTTGCTTGTCCAGGAAAAACACCAAAAATTTGTATTTTTTAACAGTCTGAATTTTTTAATAGTACTTATATATTTATTGTCAAAAAAAGCAATTTTTGGGGTTTTTCCTAGACTGGAAAATTTTGAGATTTGTGCGTTTGACGCCAAACCCAACACGTATGTCAATTTTCATCAAAATCGGAGTTGGTCGTGTTAAACCCATTGGATGATTTGACATGGAATGACCCGTGTCTGCTTTCTTCAAGAGTACCGTGGAAACCTGTTTGGTTGTGGGAAAGTTTCAGATTTTTTTCTAGTTAGGCCTACTGTAGTTACCAGGCAACTACAGTAATACAGGTAATGGGCCTTTGAAGTAGTGAGTTTTTCCAGCTTTTAAAAAGAAGCCTGAAACAGCGAAATGGTCATTGTATGTATTTACAAATCATAGTAAAACTATATATATTCCCATTTATTTGTTATTTTTCTAACATCATACAGTACATCATATATAGACAAGAAGAAAATACCATTAAATATATCACAATAAATAATTTGGGGGAAAATATACGCAATATACATCTTGCATTAACAATATTAATGCATTGGGTGCGCCAAAAGTCATGTTTTAATTAGGCCAAATGATGTGTTTAATTTCTGATTTGTCAAACTTGTATATTTTGTATTAATTTTAAAAAGTACAAAGCATAAAGAATTGCATTAAATTTAAAACCAAATGGAAAACACATCTTTTTGATTGTGCCTTTCAATATTGGAATTGTTGGAGTATGGAGAATTAAAGCACTTCTGAATAGGGAACTAGATTTGGATTGGATTGAAAGTACATAATCAAATTAATAATGTATAAATCTAATCATGTGTACGAGTTCGCCTGGGTACCAGTTCATGGCGTATGAGTTGGCATGTGTACGAGTTAGCAAACACCCACTCTGTAACAAGGTTCCAACTCTCCCAATTCGTTGGGAGTCTCCCGAATTTGTTCAAGTTCTCCCGAATTTCAAAATCCTAATTTAACGTACCGCCAGTTAAAAAACATGGAATTTGCATGATAATATACTGTAGGTTAAAAAATTATTAGGCCACATGAATGAAAATCTAATAGGTATCTTTTAAATTACGTTTATAAACCACGAAAGATGGTTGCCGCAGCATTATTATGCTGCCATTAATTTGCCAAAACAACAGTGGATTTAATTAAGTTTGTGTAAGTCCCGTGTACGTTAATAATTAATGATTTAGATGGTATATAAGCCTATTTCGTTTTATCAATTTAAAACAAACGAATGTTCATAATATATTTCGGTTTATCTATTTGAAACAAACGAATTTATATGTTGATAATCAAACCAAAGGATTTTATTATTTTCATATTACAGTGTCGATGCATGAATATGCATATATTGAAGAAGAGGAAAAAGAAAAGAAGAATGTTGATAATATTAATATACTGCCAAATTTTATTATTTTTTTCGTAATATTATTAAAGCTTACAGTATTTGATGCTTTATGTTTCGTTGTATATTATTTCTAGGTCTATACGTTCTATGATTGACTGATTTAAAGCAGAAAGTATATAAATGCCACAAAAAATCACATTATAGTATTGATGCCCCGTCCAGCAGCACTCAAAATTTCCGACTGACACTGACAAGCTGTTGACCGACTCTGTTTTTTTTTTTTCAATGATTTTGTATATTAGTTTAGAAAAAAAAAAAACATGAAATACATCGCCCTAAAATCAAGAACTTTAACTGTAAACGCCCTTCAATGAGAAGATAACAATAGAAATACACGTTTCCGTGGTTACGCTTGTATGAGATAGGGCAATACATGCCCATTCGTGCAGAACAAGTGTGCATCTAAATCACCTAATGCGAATTCACCAACTGAATTAAAGTTCAACCTGGTTTAACGAGCAATAATACTGTTATAACACACAACAGAGGTTAATGATCATAATCAATGTCTGTATTACGCTTATGTAAAATAATTATTTATAGACAATAAAACATGTCGTATAGGCCATGGCCACAAACCCTACATTATAGTGTCTGTGTAGGCGAACAACTCGGGGAACAACTACATTTCTGAACTATCGCACATGTTCGTACAATTACCATGTACAGAGATCGGAATTCCAGAGATCAAGCCAGTCGGCCATTTTCAGCATTTTACATTCTTTCCTTGTCTCCGATAACATTCCTGAATTGGCGGCGTACAAAGACTTCGTCTCCGATAACATTCTTTCTTGAATTGGCGGCATAGAAAACTTTGTGTCTTTATTCTCCAAAGAGTATCAATGGACCATACTTGGAAACGTTTCCCACAGAATTAATTGTTGCTAGGCAACTTAGTACTGGCAACTTGATACCTATTTAAGCAATTTATTTTCATTCATGCCTACAGATTTAATTATTAATTAATTATTTAAATACGGTAACCAATTAGTCACTTTTATCTAGAACGTGTAATCGTCTTGCAATGGGTACATTTGTTTAATCGTGCACTTTAATCGTACGCTTGTTTAATCGTACACATATAATTATAATGCAGGATTAATTTATTATATTACTTTATTCCAAGATACAAATTAACTTTCTTGATAAGTTACAGATATAGTTAAATTAAATTTCTTCCAAGCAATAAAGTTTCAACTTAGAATATTTTGCAGGATAAAACAATGTAGGCCTAAAACACTTCTTAACTAAAAATTATGCTATTAAAACTACTCCGTAAACAGTCAATCTTAACAATAATGTACTGAATTACATATTTAAAGGGTATTGTGTTTTTCTAAGTAGAAGTAAAAACAAACAATACTTTTTTATTTAGGCCTATACTCTTTATTTAACAAGTGCACGGCCGAATCTGATAAATAAGTTCTAAGTAATGGTTTCAAAGGTTAATAATAATATTCAATATTAGTCAAGGGGGTGACTTGGTTAGGGGGCAACTTGGTTAGGAGGCGCCTTTGCTAGGGGGCGACTTTGCTAGTGGGCGACTTGACGGGGGCGACTTGGTTAGAATCATGTCATTTTGTTCAATAATAAAATTCTAGCTTTTGCTATTATCTTGCAGCCATTTCAAATGCTAGCATATATGTACTAAAACATTTTGAATTAAAAAGGGAATTTGTTCATGCCATATTTTGCACCACACAGTGTCATTTGTGGAATGTCTGTAATACAATTCAGTCACGCCTAGTGAAGCACTACTAGTCAAGTGTAAAAACAACAATAAAAATCTTTTTTTTCCTTCAATTAATGTAAAATATTGATTGATATTCAATCATGTGATCGACTGTGATGTTAGATTTTTTTATACCAGTAGGTTTCGAATCCCTGACAGTTATTAAGTACAGTACCTCTGTTTTGCATTGTCTGTAGGCTTTGAAAAAAAATTAAAATTGACACAGTAATAAATAACTGTGTCAATTGTCTTGCTTGTCCTGGGTTTGAAGATGGGTTTGGAATGTCTGAAATTTAAATTAATATTTGATTACTGGTAGATTAAATATCTATACATTAATGGGAAAAAATGAAATTATAGCCTATAATTATTATTTTTCAGACATTTCACTCGAAAACATATTAAGTAGATATAGAGTAGATATTATTATGCAATTATAGCCAATTTCTGAAAAACAAAATAGACATACAAAACAGAGACCCAAAATGGTTTCGAGTGGGTTTCGGATAGCGTTTCTAGCTATCTAGGGGTTGAAATGTCTGCTGTATTCATTGTGCACACACCACTCTAACCTAGCCTATGTAGGCCTAGTACTAGGCCTATACTATAGCCTAGGCCCTAGGCTATGTTTGACATCTCTCTGATGGGATATGAACGGTTGAGCCGCCGACAAGTTGAGCCGCCGGTCATTTCTATGGAACGCCAAGCGTGTCTCTCAGTGAATGTAGTCGGCTTGCCCCGGATACCAGCTACATATTCTTCCCACAGTCTTGTCAGTCGTTGATTTGTTCGTATTGCCGTTCGTGATGTATAAGTTGTGTAATTGAAAGTTAGAATTTTTAATTTTATGTACTACATTTTTATAAAAATATATGAAGTTG